ATAAACACATTTCATTACATCAAATACACAAAATAATGTTATTTTAGCAACATCATATGACCCCTTTAATGTGGGAGAGACGAGTGAGTAGGCTGGTTCGCCTGTGATACAGCTGTTCTGATTAAAAGTTAAGACAGAGCGTCTTTTGTCTGTCATTCTTCAAACATTACAGTAGACATATTTTGGTTTACAAAATGTATCGTTTCATCAGTTAGTCACGTTAGCACTCGGCTAAAGTGTTCACAGTTTAGCAGCTAAACTTTAGCTGTGGGCACGATTCGCTTGCATAAGTGTTTTTTTATTTGATGTCATTATTATAAGAACGGATTGGAGCACTATATTATTGTTTTATACAAAGGTGCTTTGTCAATGGTAGCGCTCACTAACTTGCTCAAAGACTCCTCTCTGTGCATATATATATATATATATATAGGATAATATCTATTATAGCTACTACATTTTACTGATCCTAGAGTTGTTAGAGTGTTTTCTTGAAATATATTTTGTTTATATAAATCCTCTCTGACACTGGGTAAGGAAATTTTTTCTATAAACTCTTTTTAGATTCTTTGGCCTCTTAACAGGACCATCTTACAGTGTACATGAGTCCCAGAAGGCCAGTCTAATAGTTTGCTACATAATTACATTTTCAGGGCACAAAACAAAAACATGATTTCCATCATTTGGCTAATCAATCCTTTCCACTTTCCATAAGCTATTCAGGCTGTCTGTCATTCAAAACCATCATAAAATAGTGTAAAGTGGAAAAAAAGTGAAAGCATTAATGATGATACATTGCTGTAAAAAAAAAAAAAGGCTGATAAACCTGCTCGATGTACCATAAAGCATTTCAAATATTCAACACAAAAATATTTTTGAACCAAACGCATTCTGGTGTTCATCCAGGATTAATATTGCCTCCGTGCAAATAAAACACGCTCCTTTTCACACTCATTTCTTCACAAGTGGTTTAGGCATTTCAGATTTTGCCATTACACATATGGCCAACACTGAGAGTAAAGTGCTCTGGAAGTTTTAAAATAATATAGAGAGAAAAAGGAAAAAAAAACTGCAAAAACATCCTTCTTTGGGATTCCTTAAAAGAATAGTCCTCCCAAAAAATGAAAATTTGCTGAAAATGTACTCACATTCATGGCATCCATGATGTAGATGAGTTTGTCTCTTCATCGAAACAGAGAAGTTTACATTACATCACTTACATTACATTGCATCCAATAATGGATTCCTCTATAGTGAATGGGTGCCGTCAGAATGAGAGTTCAAACAGCTGATAAAAACATCACAATAATCCACAAGTAATCCACACAACTCCAGGCCATCAATTACCATCTTGTAAAGCCAAAAGCTGCATGTTTGTAAAAAACCCAGTGGGCTCCCCCAAAGTCCACGGTATAGTTTGAACACTGGGCTTATGGAAGGGAGGGGTTTGCTCTGAACTTGCTTGGAACAAATCGTTTAGAAATCATTGGCAAATGACTCTAATATTAAATGTATATTCTGAGAAAATTACAATGTTTTCTGACCTTAGATGCATTTAAACCTGTTGTAGGGGACTCCAACACAATATTAGGACACTTTAAAATACCATATGACCTGCTCTTTAACCTAGGAACATGACTGATGTACCGTGAACAATTTAAAGTAAATTTGAGATCCAATTTAGAGCTTAATAGTCAAATTTAGAGCTTAATCCTCATATTTAAGATCATTTCCATCTTGCAAGTTCTTTCATGAGTGCTGACCTCCACATCTCATCACATTCAATTGACTCTATAAAGAATGTAAACAAAGAAACTGATTAAACAAAAACTGACAGGAAACACAGAATTTATTCCATGATGTAGATGAGTTTGTCTCTTCATCGAAACAGAGAAGTTTACATTACATCACTTACATTACATTGCATCCAATAATGGATTCCTCTATAGTGAATGGGTGCCGTCAGAATGAGAGTTCAAACAGCTGATAAAAACATCACAATAATCCACAAGTAATCCACACAACTCCAGGCCATCAATTACCATCTTGTAAAGCCAAAAGCTGCATGTTTGTAAGAAACAAATTTATCAAGAGATTTTTAACTTCAAATCATTATTTCTGGCTAAAATATAAGTCCTCTATCCATAATATTACTTTGTCCAGCGAAAACGTCATCTTGTCTGAATCAGGAGAGAAATATGCAGAGATCAAGCGAAAACAGTCCAAAACAAGAGTTTTCTTTCTTTTTTTTTTTTTTTCTCGCTTTTTTAAGCTTATTTTGTGAGAGGGCACCCATTCACTGCAGAGGATCCACTGGTGAGCAAGTGATGTAATGCTAAATTTCTCCACATCTGTTGAGAAGAAGAAACAAACTCATCTACATCTTGGATGACTTGAGGGAGTAAATTTTCAGCAAATTTTCATTTTTGGGTGAACTATTTCTTTAAGTGTCAAACATCAATTATTCTCAAGTGCCTCTGCTACATATAAACTTGAACACAATCCATCTGTCGCACCTGTGCCCTGCACAGACGCTTCTAAAAACAAACCTCTGCAAATACGCAGAGAAGCCCATGTGACAAAACTTTCAGGAGACGAAGAAGACAGGACAATATAAATACATCTACAATTAAAAATAAGGTGCTGGATTGATTATACATTTCATATTCAGTAATAACATATAAGCTAACAGGATTTGATTACTGCAATACATCTGGATTTGGTTATGGCAGGGGGACACAGCTACTACATGTTTATTGGCTGAAGAGCTGTTCCAAAACTTTGCAATGCTCATGTCCCACATCACCCTCTGCTGTGAGTTCAGTACCTATCAACATTTCATATGGCAGCTAATGGGAATCTCAACTGGTTAGACTAAACCGACAAAGCGTAAACATCTATGGCAAGAGTGTGTGAAATGCAGAAATGCGATGCTAAATGCTAATCCTGTAGCTCACAAAAATGTATTAAACAACTAAAATAATGAGAACATTTCTTTCTGTAATACGAGAAGCTTATTTGAACAGTATATAAAATATCTCTATGAGAATAAGATAAGTGAAAATTTGCACAGTTTAAAAGGAATATTCAGTGTCACACACTGTTCAAACACCCGCTGGAAGTCTTAGACCTCACTCAGCATGTTTGGAAACCCCTATGAGAGTGATTCACATTGGATGTGAATCAAAAAGCTCATGAGGAGCTACTGCAAGCTTTGGGTTTCAGACAATAAACAATCAAAGGAACTTCAACCTTATATTCAAAACTAGTTGTTACCAGAGTTACCATTTTCAGTGGAAAACAGAGCCGGGGGAGATGGAAGACCTACGATAGAGTGAACGAAGGGTAGTGACTTGACCTGGTGGAGACTGGACGCCTCACCGGGAGGGGTCATGGGGTGGCTGGGTAACTGATTGGCTGGTGTGTCCATATCAGTTGACTTGGGGTCTAGGCCCACAAGGTTGGTGGCATCAGATACCACAGGGTTGCTGACCTGGAAGCACTTCTCCTTGTGGGCTTTGAGCATGTTGGAGAAGCGGAAACGCTGTCCGCAGACGTCACAGGGGTACGGCTTCTCGCCAGTGTGAGTTCGGCGGTGCCGTTTCATATTGGGCCGGCTCGTGAAGCTCTTTCCACAAATCTCACAGATATATGGTTTCTCTCCTGGAGCAGACAAACAGATGGAAGAACTTGGATTGAGAATATATTAATTATTTTTTATTAACTTTTTAGCTATTTTTACTTTTTAATGATAGTAAAAAAAACATAATTATCACTATTAATTAATTATTATAATTATATCTTATTAATATATTATAATTATTTAAAATAACTGAATAGTAAATACAGGTAAATAATATTACATATAACAATAAATATTTATTATATTTATTTATTATTGTATTATAATTGTTTATAATAAAAAATAGTCATATATTACTATTGTGTTGACTGTGATTATGATGGGCACCGAAGTGGTGATTCTCACCAGTGTGTGTCTTCATGTGTTCATCGAAGTATTGCTTCATGTTGAAGTCTTTCCCACACCACTGGCACATGAACTGCTTATGTCCGATATGGATGCTCATATGTGACCTCAGCTGGTATTTGTACTGGAATCTTTCACTGCAGTTCTACAACATGAGCAACAGCATCAGATACAGTAGATTATAATTTACATCTGTGCTCCTCTGCTTATAGTACTGGTACTAAATCTAATTGGATTTGGGATAACAACATTTGACAAAGTTAGAAATGATAAAATATTGGACACTGTTTAAAAGACTGGTTCTAATCTATTCATCAAAAATAGTGAAAAATAAATGCTTCCTGTTTTCCATTAAAAAATGTAATCAGCACAACTGTTATCAACATTAATAATAAGAAATGTTTCTTGAGCAACAAATCAGCATATGAGAATGATTTCTGGAGGATCGTGACACTGAAAACTGGAGTAATGATGCTGAAAATTCAGCTTTGCCATCACAGGAATGTTACATTTTAAAAAATATAATAGAACATTAAAGAAAAATAGAAAATGGTTATAAATTGTTTAAATGGGAGTTGACAATATTACATTTTTGATCAAATAAATGCAGCCTTTGAAAACACAAGATACTTTTTTTCGACTCCCCAAAAGTAGTACACATATGTGCACATGGTTACTCTAATAAGATCGAATGTGAATTGAACGGAAACATGACTTTTTCTGAGAAAAAGACACAAGATGCAACACCTGAAACTCTCGGGCCTATGACTGATAATCCGCATGACTGAACTCACCTCACACTTGAAGGGCTTTTCTCCAGAGTGCTGCAGAGAGTGCACTTTAAGAGACATGCTGCGTTTGAAGGACTTCCCACACGTTTCACAAGTGAATGGCATATCCTTAGTGTGAGCTGCAACAAAATTACAGACAAAATTCCTATTTTAAAAATGACGTCTGCTTCTTGTTTGCCTCAGAATGCTTATAGTAACAATTAACTGATAATAAAATGTATTAAAAACTTAATTTAACATCTTAATCACATGCCTCATTGCTCATTTTAAGGATAACAAGAGCGTTAGCTTGTGACACGGTTTAGTGTATAATAAGACACTGCATTATTACTGCACATACTCTGCTGTCAGTGTGAGATGAGCAAGTGTAACTTGTTGCCCTACAGCCAACTGAGTGGTTTTGGTAGAAGGAAGCATTTCTAGATAAGATATTTCCTCTCTGCTCTCAGGGCAGATTAAACAATACAGCCTCTGTCCTCGGCTTAGTCTGTTCTGGATGCTAAAGCAAGGTCACAGCGGCTCTTTTCCCCTGCTCAAAACAGAGCTGGATATTTCACTATTGTTTTGGACCAAGCTCTGGGAAGATCAAACTTCAGTACCGTATGGTATGAAGGCCAGGGTGTGCTTATTACATCTGCCTAAGGTTAATTTACACAACAATATGTCTTTGTGCATATGACAGAGCTGCTGTATTTTGCAGCATCTTGACTGCCACCTAGCTGTGACAGGCGGTGGTATTCTTTGATGTTAAAATGGATCCACCGGTTCATTTGTTAATGTAATGCACAATGCGGATTAGGTTAAAGTTAAAGGTGTGGCCTGCAAAGCAGAGGCTTCATTCATACCAGTTTTGTGAACAAGATAAATTGATTCATTGTAAAGATCCGACTCAAAAGAGTGATTCATTCACAAATCAGACACTGATACATCTTTCTGGACAGCTGAAGTGCATGTGAAAAGATTTTCAGTGAATAATTAATTACATTTCATTCTGTTGCTTGCACAAATCTAGCATATGGTCTTATTATAATTATAAGCCATTTATTTGCCGTTTGGAATCTTAAAGGAATAGTTCACCCAAAAATAAATATTTGCCTTCAAGCTATCCAAGATGTCGATGAGTTTATTTATTCACACAGATTTGGAGAAATTTAGCATTACATCACTAGCTCATTAATGGATCCTCTGTAGTGAATGGGTGCCATCAGAATGAGAGTCCAAACAGCTGATAAAAACATCACAATAATCCAGAGTAAATTTTCAGCAAATTTTAATTTTTGGGTGAACTTTTCCCTCAACAGCTTCAGTCCTTAATCACTTACATGACACAGAAAAAGAATGTCTAGAATATTCTTTAAAAAACAAAAATCACTTTTTGTGTTACTGCGAGAAATAAGAATTCATTCAGGTTTGGAATGACATAAAACTGAGTAAATAATGACAGAATGACCCAGTACTCACCAACCATGTGTTTCCGGACATGTGCCATGGTGTAGAACTTCTTTTCACAGATTTCACAAGAGAACTTTTTCTCAGCATATCCGTGGACAATCTTGTTGTGTTCGTGTAAAGACCACAGCTTTTTAAAAGCTTTTCCACAAGTCACACACTACAAAGGTCAGAGAATCTGAATGAATGGCATTAGACAAAACAGCTCTCCCTTAGGGGTCGATGGAAAACACAACAGTATTTTATCATTCTGAGAGAGTACCAAGAACTGCAGAAAATAAATAAAGACTGAATATTGCAAAGGGCACCTCTAACTTAAAATGAATTTATATCAAATTAAGCACAACAGCACAATTTCCTAAATTAGACTGAATTCCCCATAAGTACTCCATACAGCAGAGACAAATGGAGTTGGAGGTGGAAATGGCCTGGCAGACCTGCTTTAGTGGCAGAAAACAGCTGTTCTCCACACCCTAATACAGTTTGCGCCTATATATCATCCCAAATCTCTGGTCTATCATTCTGCTCTGCAATATGCATTCATAGCAGAGTACCAGAAGAGAATAGACATAATCCACCTTTAAACAGGGTAAAATGTGCTATAAGAAGACTATATAAGACTACATAAGACTATTATTATCAGATCAAAACTAGTGCACTGACAAAATTTTCCTGACAAAAAAAAGTTAATAATTATTTTCATGTTCTGACCGCTAACTGAAAATATACTAGTTTGTCTAAATATAATAAAAATAAACAAAAATGCATAATTTAAACACAATTAAATTTTTTTAAATTTAAACAATTTTAAATTTAGGGATCACAACATTATTAGGTAGTATGAACAATTTGTATTAATCTGGAGATTTGCTAAAAAAAAAATAGAATTAACAGTTTCTAAAAGATTGTTAAAAAGAAAGTAAATAAGCATGAAAAATTAAATATCCAATATTTATATATCCAATATTAACCAATGCTGTAATGCAATGCTATTCAAATTTTGGGGTCGGTAAGATTTTTTAATGTTTTTGAAAGAAGTCTCTCATGCTCACTAAAGTTGCATTTATTTGATCTGAAATACAAAAAACAGTAATATAGTGAAATATTATTACAATTAAAAATGTATTTTCTATTGAAATATATTTTAAAATGTAATTTATTCTTGCGATAGCAAAGCTATCAGTTAACTTTTATTTTATTTCAAGTAACAATTTTTTTTATTTTATATATATATAGTTTTAATTGTAGCTCCAGTTTTAGTTTTGTTAAATATAATAACTCTGATGGACATAAAAAAAAAAAAATAAAATCTTTATAGTTTCACTTGCTGCCACACCAGCCACCTGTGCAGACAGCAGCATGTGATTTCCAGTTGATATCAACATATTTAACATTTGCATGCTGCATTAACCTTTTACTTTTTTTCTTACCCACAAGTTGTTCCAAACCTGTATGAGTTTCTTTCTAAAAAAAAAAAAAAAAAATATATAATATATATATATATATATATATATAATCAAATTGGTTAATTTAACTATGAAATTGGAACTTTGTGAATAATGAGTGTCCCAGCTCTGTGGGCACAAATTTTGTGTGGGCCTACTTATGGGTTTTGTGTTTAAATTAGAGTGTTTTCACACTCGGTTTTGATGGCGGGGTCCAATTTAACTGTTGCTCCCTCCCGCTATCCCTGCATGTCTCTCTTTTTATTGTATAATTAGGAATCAATCACCAAGCAAACAAACCAAACTCTGACTTTGCACCAAATGCTTGTGTAAAATCAGCCTTATAGATTGACCTTATTAACGTGTACATGCAGACAAGTGTGTGTACCTGTATGTTTTTCTCACAGTTTGTCTGATGGTGTAGCAGCAACTCGCTCTCCAGTAAAAAGCGCTTGCCGCATTTATTGCAGATCTGCATGCGGTTGTGGGTGACGTTCATGTGCTTCTCCAAGTACCAGCGGTTGTTGAAAACACGAGGGCACTTTTTGCAGGAAAAGTGCTGCTTTTCTTCGAGCTTCACCTTCTGTCCCAGACTCTCCTGCTCTTTACTCCTCTTCCTCCCCTCCCTTAGTGTCGTGTCATTTAGCGTCGGTCTCATGGCCGTGGCACGCCGTCTTTCCACACTGGTCCGTCCTGTTTCTGGAATGTCCAGATTATTCTCTTCTTCATCCTCATCGTCCTCGTCATCGCTGCGATTTTCCATCCCTTCCTTTCTGTGTTCATATTCTTCTTCTTCGTCCTCACCAACATCTTCATTATCATCCTGTTCCTTACCCTCCACCGCATTGGGAAGATTGGATTGACGGTGAACGAAGAAGGATGAGGTACTTAAGGTGACGCCCTTGCCGTCAGACCCTTTAGAAACATTCAAAGTCTGGTTGTTGAGATTGACCTCCACAATAATCTGCTCTCTGTTAAAGGAGACAGAACTATCCTGGGATCCCACTTCATTTAGACCGACTCCTCCCTCCATTGTGCATAAGCCCCGCCCTCCTCCGCTAGCCACTCCCCCTCCAATGTCATCTTTTTTGTAGAAGTGTTTGGCTCGAGGGCTGGAGTGGACGCTAGATGAGTGTGTCTGCGTAACATCCCTACTGACACCACTGCCCTCTACAAGCAAAGAGAATGTACCCTTTCCTTGTTGTGTGTACATCTTCTCAAGCTCCTTCATCTTGTACATCTGACTGGACGAGACATTGCCTTGCCTGTCTGTGTCTGCCATCTCATTGGACCCAAGTAGCTTGTGGCAGGAACTCATTTGGAGCACAATGGCCACCTGTAGGACTTCAAAGATGGAGATATAGATGAAGCTGAGGATTTGGATACTCAGCACCTCAAAGGCCAGGTTTATGCAGTGCGGTGGTTGACTCTGGGAGAGGAGGGCCTGGAAGTAGGGGATGTGGTCACCCAGCACGTCCTTGTGGGAGGAAAACGTATGGTGGGACACCAGCACGGGGTCCACGTCGCTCAGGTGAGGCTGGTAGAGATGCCTATCCATTAAACAAGTGAAGTGCAGCGCTGCATCCTCCAGCAGAAAGAACTCAGCAGTAGTCCTCCCCACTAGGAGAGAAGACAGGAGAAAATATATATTAATCTTACAATTCATTAACAAATTTACAAATTAACAGAACAATTACGACGTATATCCACTTGGAAAACAGGACAAGAATAAACATTTTAGCTAGTAACTAGATTTGCATTTCTAGAATGAAGTGCTTGCAAGGTGGTAAATGCAACAAGCAAAATTGCGCATTTTGCAATAATATGACTTTTTTAATCTTTTATATTTTTTAAATATAACTATTTTAATGTGTTTTTATTTTTGGCTATTAACAGTCTGATTTATAGTATTCAATTCATAACTCTGATTCAATGGCTAATTTGTGTCACCATTACAAAACCGTCAAATTATTTATATACTATTTTAATATTTAGAATTAGTTTTATTTTTAGATTTTCAGTTTTCATTTCATAATTTAGTTTTAGTAATTTTGTTACGTGCTTTTGTCATTTTTTGTTTGTTTAATATTTTTATTTAGGTTTTTTTTTGTTTTAGCAATTTTAGTACTTCAGCTTTTCATATCTATGTTTTTTTTAGTTTTAAAGTTTGTCAATATTTAGATTTTATTTCAATTAACATATTTGTTTAACTTTTTCATAGAAATAACAACACTGGCTAATGTAAATCTTTATAAATCTTCATGTAAGTAAAAACATATAGGAAAATATTGCTGTTTATTATTTATATTGGTAAATATAAGTACAAATTATTCAATTCCTTGTCTTCATTATTCCAAAACTGTGGAAAATATGATTCATATGATTATTGTTAACTAGATTGTTTGCTGTATTTTAATACATTAAACATTTTGTTTGTACTTGGTTTAGTATTTGGTATCTACTTGTCAAAAAAGGTGGTTTGGTTGAAATGATGTTTCCTCCAATTTGAAATGATTCTTTTAAGCCATTTCAAAGCAAAATATTGCTGTATATATACAGTTTATAGTTTAAAGGGGTCATATGATGCGATTTAAATTTTTCCTTTCTCTTTAGAGTGTTACAAGCTCTTGGTTCATAAAGAAGATCTGTAAAGTTGCAAAGACTAAAGTCTCAAATCCAAAGAGATATTCTTTATAAAAGTTAAGAGTCAACCACACCTACCTAAAACGGCTCGTTCTAACACGCCCCCACATGTCTACGTCACGATGTGGGAAGATTTGCATAACACCGCCCAAATGTTCACACAAAGAAAGAAGGAGTAACTTTTATTCTCGCTGTAATATTGAAAAGTGAAAAGTGAAAAAGTGAAAAGTGACGTGACATGTGGCCAAGTATGGTGACCCATACTC